TAACTCAAATTGTTCACTGCCACTCAGTCCAAACTTGTCTATACTGCATTTCCACTCGGGGTGTCGCCACCATCCACAAGGACATTCAGTTCACATTCACTCCCCAGCCCGCAAGCTTTATTCCGTCAATAATCCCAACATCTTTCCCAACGTTCCCATTTTCCTTATGGTCCAACCTCTCAATATCCCCTCCTGATCCAGGGTCAAGCCCTCTAAATGATTTCAGGCGTGGTCTTAAGCTGGCTTAAGTCCCTTACCTACAGATCCCATTGTTCCCACTGCATAATGTGATCGGGTTTAGCCCTCTGCAGGGCTGGCCTTTGTGAGCTTTGTCTTCGTTCTGGCATCACCCAACTCTAATTCTCCTGCCCATACAATGCTCTCAGCTCCAAACCTTAGCTCTTCTCCACTTCTCTCCTCCCTTCTGTCTCTAGCCAGCTCTCCACTTTCAAGATCCAGACCAAGTGTCATTTCTTCTAGGACCAATTCTCAAACTTCCTCAGTTCACAGTACCCTTGGTGTCTCAGGAATTTTTACACAGAGCCTGTAGGCCTGCACAAGTACCTAATAGTTCTGTATTTAGTACTTAGATCCAAACAACTTAGTAAGTGTTTACCTCCTCACAACTTACAGGCTATGTGAAAAAATACACAAAATTGAAAGAAACCTATTTTTATTTCATGCTAAATAACCACATCTGCTTACTGATGGGATGTGTGCGTCTGTTGGGCACTGTACAATGGTTCAAACCTTATTATCTGGTCGGACACTGCCACTCTCATTTCCTGTTCCACATTGGCTTTTACGGGGTACTTTTAATTACAGCAGTTGCTAAAACCCCAGCTTGACAGAAATATGACATGAGAAGGAGTGAAATGCAGCTCATATTGAAACGGTAGCTACCTCGAGCTGGTAGCTTACAGGATTGTGGAACGGATGATGAATATAGCTATGCTTCCCTCAAAATTTTAAAATACACCATGACGCCTCCCTGAGCTTGCTGTGGTGTCCCAACCTGGGATAGCGTGGGGTATAATCTGAGGACCTTGGCCCCATGCACTGCCCCCTACTGTATCCGTACCCCTGTTCTGAGCTGCCTTGCTGTGCTCCACACACCGTCACTGGGGCCGTTACCATATGGCACTCTAAGAAGCTGCTGTGTGTCTGCTGTTTTCTCTAAGGCTGTGAATGCTTTAAGGGCAAGGCCCATTCTGTCCTCTTTTTCGTAGGCCCAGCGGTCATACAGTTCCTGACATACGGCTGGTGTTCAGCTGAGAGGAACTGAACTACCAACAGGGTCAGAGGCCACAGTGGAACCCCAGAGGAAGCCAGTCTGGCTGCCAGTTAAAATGGGGATTCCTGTCAAGCCCAAGATCTGTGGTTCTGAGGAGGGAGAATCCTGCTGGACCCGGACATGGGACCAGCCTGAACTACTCAGACATGCCCGACTCCAGCTAAGGGCCCCATTGGCTGTTGTCTCTGCAAGGGCATTGACCAAACTTCAGATCGGGGAAATGACACTCAATACACTCTGGGTTTTATTTTTGTTTTGTTTTGTTTTGTTTTTTCTTAGTTTCCTGGTAAGAGTTCCTTGGGAGGAGAAGAAAAAAAGGATGGAAGGACGGAGGGAAGGAAAGGAGAGAGGAAGAAAGGAAGGAATGGGGGGAAAGAACCCTGCTTTGGCTCATGCACACTGAAAAGGGGGTTTTGCTTTCCGAACCTCCTTTAAAGGCACAAGGGCATCTCTGTGACACTGGCGGTTGGGTAGAGCCAGGGCTCTGGCGCAAGAACCTTGAACCCCAAATTCGAGAGACCTGGGGCAGATGGGGAGGAAGGGCAGCCGTCCCAGCCAGAGCGCAGCGAGCAAGGCTGCCGGCGGGTGTGCTTCCTCCCAGTTGGGGTGCATTTCCGCACAGCTGCTTGCCCAATTTTTGATGAGCCATTGCTTTTATCTGATCTGTGCTCTTCTTCCCCATCAGCAGGGTGTTAAGAGTTTACATCCTTTTTTTTTTTTCTTTAAACATTCTGCTAAGAATGAGCCCGAGACAAAGCTGAGGTTAGGAATAGGGCCAGAAGTCGAATTTGTTCTCACAGAACACGACACCAGTGGTCCCCGCATCCCACCAGTGCCCGCCATGGAGGCCCTGTGGTCGGAGGGTTATGATCAGTCGCTCTAATCCAATGGCTGCACTACCCGCCTGAGTCGACCAGGGTATCTCCCTTTATCTTGCGGGAGGCGTCCAGCAGCCTCTGCCAACCCCTGAGTCACGCTGAGGGTGGCAGCTGTTCAGGCCGAGTCTGGCGTTTGGGGTCCACCCCGCAGCCCCTACCATCCCTGGCATTGGCCCCACCGATGGACTGAGGAGGTGGGGAGCTCTATGGCAACGGTCCTTCTCCCGCGGGGCAGAGCGGGGACACGTGTTCCCCCACTGCCCGTGAGCAGTCTGTTCTGTGGGCAGCGTTCTGGGAACAAACTCAAGCCAAACTGTCGCCAGCCTTGTGGTGGGTGAAGGAGCAGCAGAGCTCTCTCTGCCTGGGCTCCTGACCCTGGAGAAGCAGGGACCTCACTCCGCCTGTGTCCCCCTGCCTAGAGAATGGCACCCCTGCTTCAGATCCAGAATGATTTTTCTAGAAAGTTTCAAACAAACTTCTATGGCCCTTGACTGGCAAGAAGTTCTCTCTGGTATCTATCTTGAGCTCTTTGTGCTGTAGCCAAAGCTTTTTTTTTTTTTTCACTTGGGCTGACCCTGTCTGGAGAAGGTAATCAGATACAATACCCTTCCCTAAAATCGAAGATTTCTCAAACACTTCTCTGAAAAGAAAATTTGGGTTTCCTTAACCCTTCACCACAGCCTTATCACCCATACCTTATGGCATCTTTCTCAGTTGTATCTTTGAACCCTCTCCAAAACTTGTCCTATGAGTTATGGGGATTGTAACTTAATTAGATCTTGTCTTTCCAGAGGATACTCCTAGTGCGCAAGGAAAAATAAATTAAGTTTCAGTCAGATCTATTTCATTGGGGGAAGGGCCTAGAAAAAGAAATTGAGTCCTTCATATAAAAAGCACATTGTACCACAAATGAGTTCCTTTTTCCAATTGTTTTTGAAACAATGGGTCCTTTTTTGGTGAACTTAATCCCTGAGAGAGTCTAACCTCTAAAGATGATGATTTGCGTTCTTTTGTGAGTATGTGGCTTCTGGATCTGAAAAGAGCAAGATGTGTGGTCCGTGCCTGTCTAGTAGGTGGTTAAGGAAACACGATGACAACTTGGCAGCAACTGAGCACCTTTCCAGGCGTGGGAATGGGCGTGTGTGTGTGTGTGAGTGTGTGGTAGGGGTGGGGGTGGGAGTAAGGATCCTCTATTTCCAGCCTTTTCTGCACCAGCTTCTGTTCTAAGGGGTCTGTCTTGCTTCTCTGTGACTTCATCTCACTGTAAGTAGGCTTGTCTTCTGTGGCGCTGTTTTGCTTCTCTGTGCACATTCTTTGTCCTGATCATTTGGTATTTGTGCTCGGATTTTCACAGGGGAAGAGGGAGGTAATAAGTCGACTCTCCACTCAGCATTCACTCGGCCACCACCTCAGCCAGGCTGCTTTACTTCCTTCACCTGAGTTCCCCTTGGTGTACTGTGATGAACTTGGGCTCGTAGCTGACCTCTAAGGGCCATTCCCATCTGGCTCTCTGTGATTCTCACAGCATCAGCTGTCCTAACTGCTCCACAGCAGGAAAAGGGTGCTTGGAAAGAATGTCGATTTAAAATAGAATTCCTTCCCCACAGCCTTCTCTCGCAAGGACCCTGAATCAGCATCATGTAAAGGGACATGAATGATCTTTTACTGATCGCCTCCTGTGTGGCAGAAACTGTTCAAGGCTCTGTGACACCCTCACTGTGGAGTAGATGAACCAGGTGTCTCCCCCCCCACCCCCAACACCCAGCGAGCTACCCTGACCCAGAGGAGTCGTATTCCTCAGGTCTCACCTGAAATGTCCGTTCCTCAGCTCAGTGTAGGTCCCCATCCTGTTCTCACGGTACCCTGTGCTTTCCCTTCACTGCACTTACCACCAGTGCACCTAAATAATTATCTGCACAATCAATGTTTTCATGCCTGCTCGACTGAAAACTCCATGAGGGCAGGGACCATGTAAGTTGTTTTTCACCATATTTCCAGGACCTAGTGCAGTGCTGACAAAATAATAGCAGTTCAGTAAGTACTTGCTGAGTAAACATTAGTGTGTATGCGTGGATGGATGGATGGATGGATGGATGGATGGATAGCAAAGCTGGACACAAACCCAGAGCTGTCTGGCTCTTGGAGATGCTTCCGAAATTTCCGAAGCTCTCCACTTACATGCGTGTGCACAGGCCTCACTGCTGTAACGGTTCTGTGATGCTGTCCACCTTTCCTAGGGCTCTGGGTTATGTCTCCAGCAGTGGAGGTGGCGGTGGCACTGCTCTGACCATACTCTTCCAACTCAGCGCTACGAGTCCCCACAGGTGTCAGTAAAATAGGTGGAGATGATCTAGCCTGAGGCTGGTGCGCGTGGTTGGAGGTGGGTGGGAGGAGGCACTGAACAGAACAGAACCAAACGTCACTGTGGGCCTTTCCTTCTAACACACTTTGTCAAGGGGTCGCAAATACAAAAGCGCTCTGTAGGGGATCTAGGTCAGTACGAATGGGTGGGTGAAAAGAAAGGAGGGACGCAACCTCTAGGGACGCAAAATAAAATTCTAATGTGGAAACTGCTAAAAATAGACTGCATGGACTGGGCAGGCTGCATGCCAAACCCGGTGCTAATTACATGGAAATTAATCACAAGTCCTAACTTCCATCTGCCTTGCTGGGACCCTTGGGGGGAAATCCTGTTGCAGGCGTCTCCCCCACGCCACCAAGGAGGCTTTGATGTCGCCTCCTTCACACTCAGCTCTTAGCCACTGCAGTGGGAAAAGCTGATAGGAGGCTAAAAATACTAACAATAGAAATTTGATTTCTTCTTCCAGACAAAAAGCCTTGGCATCCACGGGAGGAAGAAGTGTTCAGGCAGCATGTGACTGGTTGGTATGAAATAAATACACGGAGAAAGGAGCATATAATTAACTTGGAGTGTATGTGGATAGTGCAGCCTTTCTGTAAGGAACCCTACCCATGGGGAGATGAGCCCAAAGCCCTTGTGACTGGCCTGTTTATCAAGCCAGTTGCGTCCTCTGCCCGGGGCCCCAGGCTGTGCTTCTTAAAGCCAGTTCAGGAAATTCAGAGCATTTCCCAGACAGGCCCTATCACAAAATCGTCGCCTTCTATCACTTAAAGGTACACTTAGGTGTGTGCACGTGGGGCCGTCTGTGTAGGAACGTACCCTGCTTACCTCGCAGCTGGTCCCTTCCCCAAGCCTCACCCCACCAGGTAACCCTCCTTCCTGAAGCTCCCTGGAGAGCAGCTCTAGGATTTTTTAGGGAGTTGTGCCATGTGGAAGCAACATGACAGGCAGAAGAGAAGTGGAGTGCATGTGACACTTGGTTATGAAGTGTGAGTTTCGAGGGGTAGGTTTCTAAAGCAGGAAAGGGAACGCCCCCTCCCTTGCAGGGCAGAGTATGGAGCATATTGGGGGCAGGGGGAACCTCTCTCTCTCTCTCTCTCTCTCTCTCTCTCTGTTCTTCCTTCCCTTCCACTGGTCTCAGGTGAGGCCTACTTGGCCCCCTTCTCTCCGGTAGGTTATTCTCCCATGTCGGTGACCCCTTCCTGGATGACCCTCTGCCTCGGGAGTACGTCCTCTACCTCCGACCCACCGGCCCCTTAGCACAGAAGCTCTCCGACTTCTGGCAACAGTCAAAGCAGATCTGCGGGAAGAACAAGGCGCACAATATCTTCCCCCACATTACCCTCTGCCAGTTCTTTATGGTGAGACGCAGCCCACACCCCACCCGGGCACCTGGCTGCCCACATCCCAGCCAGCCCCTTAATACCCAGGGGCCTCTGGGGCACTGGCAGAGAGTGTCCTGGGCTTCTTGAGTTGGATGGGCCTCCAGGGATCAGTGAGATCCATGGTCACTCGCCCCATCTCCTCTTTCTAACATCTGCTGAGGCCCAGGTGCACCCGGGTCTGGGGTGGCATCACAGTGACCACATACCCTGGGACCCTAGGGCCCAGGGACAGACAAATCCGGCTTTCCACCTTCCCAACAAGGCGAGAGTAGGAATTAGACAGCTGGGAACAAGTAATGGAGTCGGAACCCTGGGTCAGTGGCGTTAGCTTTATGGACACTGTCCCCAATTTTTGTCTCACTAGACCCTTCTGGATGGTGAGATATCTCGCACCTGCCCGGGGTACCTAGTCCATAATGCTAGCTCTCACAAGCCTACTTATGACTAAATTAAAATCCCCCTCACTATAATAAAGGTAAATACATTCCATCTATGTTAGCTGTGGGGACGATGAAGAACAAATGTATCCAGGTTGCTTTCAAAATGAGGCAAAATAGTAGCACTTTAAGACAATACATCATTTTTCGTATTTTGGGGGGGGGTGGCTTTTTTTTCTTCCAGATTCTGTCTCTTGGGTAAAAATATGTCCCTAACACCTTCTCTACCATTCACCCTGAAAATTAATATGATTATCATTTCCTCTTAGTCACCCAGGATCTTTCTCAAAAGGCTTCGGAGGTGTAGACACACTCATTCCTCCTCCCAGTGCTCTGAGGAGGGCAGGGGGAGGATGCCACAGCTCTCAGAGCCCCATTCTTCCCAGCTGTCAGGGGAGTGGAAGTGGATCTATTTTTGATTGTCTTAGAGGAACAGAAAAGGCACGGATGCTGCAAAATAGTAGAAAACACACGACGGTGTATCCGGATGCCGTACTCTCTCCTGGCATGTTCCCACAGTTGTCCTCCCTACGGGGCCAGTCCCTCTGCGTTCTGCCTGGGACCAGGGAGGCACATCAGAGCAGGGAGGGAGCGAAGAGGTCGTCCGTGGCGCTGGTTTCATTTCCCAGTTGGATAATCCACTCCCAGATAATTGGGAGTCTGCGGTTCTTCTCTTTCCCCACAGACAGACGATGGTTTAGCAACTGCATTGCCAGCCGCCCGCTCTAGGCAGAGGATGCCAAATTTAAGTAGCAGCAGATATCTGTCTCCCCTTGTCTCTGAAGGAGGCCTCTTGTTTTCCCCACCAGTGTGAGGACAGCAAGGTGGACGCGCTGGGGGAAGCCCTGCAGACCACCGTCAGTCGCTGGAAGTGCAAGTTCTCCGCTCCGCTGCCCCTGGAGCTCTATACCTCCTCCAACTTCATCGGCCTCTTCGTGAAGGAAGACAGCGCAGAGGTCCTCAAGAAGTTTGCTGCGGACTTTGCTGCAGAGGCTGCATCCAAAACCGGTGAGCCCACATAGCTGCCAGGCTGGCCCTGGGTTTCTGTGATCAAAACAGTGGGAAGGGAAAGGATAGGGAATTGTGGCAGCGTGGGGTGGAGTCAGGAGGCGGAGGGTCCTGCAGGAATGGGCAGAATGTGACAAAGAATGCAGCCCTTTCCTGCAGTGCACACCTCTGTGTCCTTTTAAAAATACTTGAGTGGTATTCTGCTAGCCTTCCCAAGACAAAGTCCAAAACCTCCTCCCTAACGCTTGGAGGTGAAGGCCCACAAATGGCTGGTCCACGCTGAGCGTTAAGTATATTCCTGCAGAGAACCATAGTCTCTTCCCAGTTCATCATTAAGGTAACTTCCTTCCTTCTTCCCAACTTCCGTCCTGTGCAGGTGTTTATGTGGGCCTCACAGTTCACTTCGTGAAGTCCCAGAACTTTGCTCAGGGGTAGCACAGCACAGCAAGTAGTGTGGAAACAGTATCACATAAGAAACCGCTGAGCTACACTGCCCTCAAACTTGCAGAAGCTCACTAGGCCCTTAAGTCTCAAAAGTCTATCCAAACGTGTCCCTCTTTCAAGGTGTTTCCTGCTCTTTTCGAGGCAAGCTCATAGTTCAAGCCAGCTGAGACTTCCCGTCAAAGGAATTCACTTAGATGGCTGCTCAGGATGTACGTTGACTTAGAGGCAGGATGCCCGGGGGGTTGGGACAAGAGGGAGAAGTTTGCAAAGTTTTGCTGTCTGACTATAGGTGCAGACAAGCTCACTTAGCCCAAGGAGAGCCTTGCCTGCAGTGACACAGACAGATGATGGGGGGGTAGGTTGGTGGGGTTGGGGGTCTCTGTTGGCTCCCTTAACAGTGAAATCCAGGCAGCAGGTATTTATTGGGAACCTACCATGTGTTTAGCTGCGAAGAATGCAACAGAGAATGCGAAGTGGTTTCTCCAGGCCAGAGGCACAGTTGGGGTGGGGAACCTGGGTCAGGCCCTGCGTGCTGACAGCTCTGAGAAGAGAGACCGTCACCAGTGGAGTGGCTAGGCCTTCACCAAAGATGAAAAAGAAAGGACATTTGCAGGGGGACCGTGCTGAGGAAATGAGGAAGGCCCTGCAGGGCATGCGGCAGGAGCAGGGGGTGCAGAGGCCAGCGCCAGGGCGTGAGCTGTGCAGACGCATGGAGTGTTGACGCAAACCTGGAGAAGGCCCCATGTTTCCAGGAGGGTCGGAGAGGGGAGACCTGAGTAAAGGCACACAGTTTGCCCCTTGGTGTCAGGACCTTTGGCCTGTTCCTCACCTGCCAGTGTTCCTTGCTGCTATCTTCACCCCCAACTCAGGCCCTTTTGCTCAGTGTTAATTACCAGAGAGCCCCAGGTAGAGCTCAGGAATCTATGAAGTACATGAAGAGGGCCTGGCATCCCTGAGCAGGGTTCACAGTGAGGTCTGCAGGCTCAGGGGAACTCCCGGCCCTGCAGATACCTGCCTCACTTTGGGAGCGAGACCTCCTTGGGCCTCCTCCCAGGTGCCCCTTCTTCCCCCGGAGCCCGCCCGTTGCTGCTTTCTGAGTTCTGTGGAGCCTGCCCTTTCACAGGGGCTCAATATTTCAGAGAAGTGGCATAACAGAGAGGCAGATTATTTCCTGTTCCTATCCCTCTACCTCAGGGAAACAGCTCTTTTTGATCCCACAGCAGCTATTGTCAAAACCACGAGAACTCCCACAAGAACCAAAACTAAAGCTGTGGCCACAAACCCAGATCCTTCTCAGATGAGTACACCAGGTCTCAGCCAGGACTGCGGTCACTCTCAGGGCGTGTACCGAGTGAGAGGCAGGCAGGCCCTTGCTTTCTTTCCTTGTAGGAAGCGGGGAGCCTGTTCTTCTCCAAGAATAGGGGTGCGCTCGGAGAACCCCCCTCTTCCCCGTGTCTCTCCCCGTGGCAGCCCCCTGGTGGTGACTTACAGAACAGGGCAGCCCTCCCTGTGTCACCTTGCAATCTAATATGGAAAGCCAGCCATCATGTTTGTCCGAGAACTTAGGCCTTGATATTCTAGAGTTTTGGGCAGACCCAGATTCCTTCAGCGAGTAGTTAATGTCACCCTCCATCCCAGGTGGTCCAAGGAGATACATTCATGTGTATCCATTCATTTAACAAGTTCTGAAGCCTGTAATGTGCTGGGCATTGGGGACACATCATGAAGATGACATAAAGCCCTTGCCCCGGGGGGCTCACACCACAGACACGCAGTGCAGTGAAACCGCAGGGTCCAGCTCTGCATCTGCCCCTGTGTGACTTGAACTAGCCCCGTAATTCCTCAAAGTCCCTAAGTTCTCTCCAGTTGCATCTTCTTCAGGGATCTAGCCTGGACCCTAGATGAATGTCCCATGTTTAAAAACATACGAAAGAGGTAAGAGTCATGCCACAGTAGGTAGGTTGGTTTGGTTTCTTAGGGTGTCTTAGAACAACAGCTTGTGTACTTTAAGCCAGTGGTTCTCAACAGAGGCACTTTTGCCCCAGGGAACATTGGGCAATGTCTGAAGTCATTTCTGGTTGTTACAGCTTGTGGGGGTGGGGTGTGCCACAGATATCTAGTGGGTAGGGGCCAGGGATATGGCCAAAGGCCCTGTAATACTCAGGACAGCCCCCTAACAAAGACTTCTGGGATCCAAATGCTGTTGAGAAACCCAGTTTTAATCTTTGAAAATATTCCATCTTTTCCTCTGGTTTCTCCATCACAGCCACCCAGAAGCTAAAAGACTTGATTTCAAAACGAAGGCAAAAAGAGCTTTGGGAGTCACACAGTCACAAGATGTGCTCTTTATTTCTACGTAAATTCACCATCCCTTTAGGTCTCAGTTTCCTCATCCGCATGGTAGAGCTGGTGGTAATCAGCTGGAGCCAAGCCAAATGCCTCCCTCCCAGCTGATTCAGAGCCCCTACAGAAAAGCCAAATGTGTAGCTCTTAAACTATGGGGTGAGTCAGGATCCATTACCCACCTGCACGCCCACTCCACCTGCTGCCCCACCGTACTCTGCTGCTGTGAAGAGAGATGCAGCTTCTGTCTGACCAAAGATCTCCCTCCTTTGTTATATGGGAAGCAGAATTAATGACGGCACCCTTCAGTGTTCTTCCTTAAGTCCCCACCACTGCTGTGATTACCACATTCCAATAACTGACTGTTTCCTTCCTTTTTCCAGAAGTACATGTGGAGCCTCATAAGAAGCAGCTGCATGTGACCCTGGCTTACCACTTCCAAGCCAGCCACTTACCCACCCTAGAGAAGCTGGCCCAGAATATCGATGTCAAACTTGGCTGCGACTGGGTGGCTACCATATTCTCTCGAGATATCCGATTCGCTAACCATGAGGTAACATCTCCCTGTGGGTCCTGACGCTGGGAGCGGTGCCGGGGTGCGGTCAGAAACAGGAGCGCTCGCTGCTGGCTGCTGCGGGCTGATGGGTACCGGAGCACAGCCATGAAGCGAGCACCAGGCTAGGAGTCCATTGGCCCACAATTTTCTGCAGGCTCTGCCCAACTCACTGGGAAGCTCTGAGCTTGCACCCTCCTCTGTGGTCCCAAGGGGCTCATCTGTGTAATAGCCCCATTGTTCTATCTGCCCTGCCGGCAGAATGATATAGAAATGCAATGGGAGAGCAGATAGAAAAGAAGGTTGGGAACATTTAAAATCATATAAATCCACAGGGTTAACAGAAAACATCACCCTGATGTGAGGTGAAGAGGAGAACACATAGTACAACAGAGCCTGCAAACACATAATCAATAGATATTTGCTGAACTTGGTATGCAAGTGGCCATGACACTAGAATTTTAGAATGTGGTCTTGTCCTCAAGGACTTTGAATCCAGCAGGGGAGAACAGAACGAATGTTGGGAGTGTCTGCGTGCCCCGCCTGGGCAGCATACGTGGGACAGTTGTCCTCGTGCGGGCGGGAAGATTGGCGTGGCCTTAGCATCCCTCCCTTAAGGGAAATGATAGTGCTTCCCAGGACAAGCCTGTGCCATCCCTGAAGAGTAATAGTGCCCTTTTTTTTTCCTGAAGGAGAGGCTCACATGAAGGAGCTGGTCCAAACTAAACAGCAAGTTAGAACCAGAGCTAAAAGCCAGAACCCAGGGATTCTGACCAATAAAGATGGGCAGCCCATAAAAAAACCCCCACATAGTTTTGTCATCCAGTTTCACTACATTTATGAGACAATACTTATATTTGTTATTCAATACTTTAAGAGGAAAAGAATGATACTTTTCTTAGTTTATGCAGCCTTTTAAACATCTCTTTTAAGATGTGAGATACAGCCTCAGGGTCTAGACCAGGCAACCTCATCATTGTTTAGAAGTGGTAGGAAGAGCCGGCTCATGAACCGAAGGTCCGAGCTTGGTCATAGGGCCTGTGAGTGTCTGAGACGTGCAGTTTTATCTGCCTCTGCTCATGGGAATGTGGTGTCTTCCTTCCAACTCATTTGATTCAAGTTTCTGTAAGGACACAAGGAGACTGGGCTTGTTCTTGCTTAAGAATTCTGACATCTCCTAGAATTGCTTAGGATGAGCCCTGAATACAACAAGAGAGGTGGGGCTGTTTGGACTCCTTCTAAGGGCAAAGAAAAAAAGAAAGTCAAGGGTTGCATGCAGATGGGCTGGGAGAAGTCACCTTTCTCAGTGTAAGAAGGTGGCAATGGAATTTTACAAGGAATGTCTTCTAATCAACACTGCCCTCCAGTTAACTCGAAGGGTAATTGCTTTTCTGCCTGACCCACATTCTGCTCAATTGGCACTGAGGGAAAGAGGCAGCTAGCGCCCACGTGAATTATTTTCTAAAAATAACTTGGCCTCTTTTATCTCTTATTCTTAAGAGCTCATTTATGACTGTTCCTCTGGATAAAGCCCTCCCTCTGAGGTGCTTGGGCTTTACCTGAGCTCGTGTGTATGTGTAAACCTCTTCCTGCCTGCCTTCTTCTGCCCTAGGGTGCAGGGTTGATCGATCATTCCAGCAAGGCAACGGATGTCCCAAGAAGCAAGGTGGTTTAGGCAAGGACACTCAGCAAGTGGTGTTAGGAAAACTCAGATCTCACACCTCTGCTGTTTAGATTCTTGCTTCATTTGGACTTGCAAAAGCCTATTTGAACTGAGCTTGCCAAGCATCAGAAATCTAGAGGAAAGACAGTGTTCTACACGAAATGTAAATTTTGTAATCTGGCACCCATGGCTTCCATTCCTGGCTTCATTACCATAGCAGGTGCTAGGATCGCCTTTACAACTTCTGTAACTCCCCAGTCCTTCGTTTTCTCGTGTGTACAATAAGGATAATATTTTGCTGGGCTGTTGTGAGGACTAACTAAGAGGCCTGGAGAGGCCCTAACATGATACCCAGCACAGAGGGGGTGCACCAACTGTGCCCCAGCTATTACTGTTACTAAGAAGAAACAGAACAACAGAGAGCTCCCAGATGTGAGTCAGCTAACTTTGAGTTTAGTCCCCATGTAAGAAGGGAGGAAAACATTCTTGAGACAGACTCAAGAATTCTTACAAACAGATGTTAAATATAAAACAAAAGAGTAAATAAGTATAATGTAGTACAAAACAGGCATGTGTCCTCATATATTGCAAACACAAGCTGACTTTGTGCACGTGTTTTTGTGAGGGGGCAAAGGGCTGTGGGGACATGGGCACCAGTTATAATTTGACATTTCCTGCAATACCTTGGTTCCTTTATTATTTACTAAATAAGCCAAAGCTACCTATTTTTCAACTACTCTCTGCTCCAGACACACTGTCCCCAACATTCCTTGACCTTGGGTTGCCTGGAGATAACCTGGAGAGAGAATGCTCACCCCCTAAGTGACGGGAGGAATGAGTTCCCTGAAGTCACCTGGAGTGTCTCAAAGGAAAGCGCTACAGGGCCGAGGGTGTTGTGAGCCAAGATAACATGCTGAGTAAGGAGCACCAGTTGGGACTTGTCTCCTATGACTCACTGACTCTCTCCACCCTCTTCCAGAATGTTCCTTTTGGTGGAGCATCACATACCTAGCTTAGAGATTTCTTGTGGGTATTTTTTTCTTTTTTCTTTAAGCTGTTTTAACAACCCAGCAGAAAACCTTCCTGGTTAGTTTGGAAAAGTGGCTTGAGTGCCAATATGGTGGAGCAACGGGGAAGGGTGAGGAGGTGACCACATGGGCAAAGATCTCAAGCGGAAGGACGCTGGAGTAAGAATTAGGGATGGAAATGGGTGCCCCGAAGAAAGGGGAGTCGGAAATCCAGCAGGACAGTTGAGTTCTAGGCATTATCGCATTCCTTCTCTAAGAAAGACCACATTTCTACTGGCTCCTTTCATTAGAAAGTTCCAGAAGGAAATTCTTCCTTTATAACATGTTCTGATAATCTATCACCTGGACACCGGTGAGCTGACTTTTACAAAGTCCAGGGGTCAGATCGGCTAGAAAAGAAATGAGGGGTTATGGTTCAATAGAAATAATTATGCCCCTTCTGGGTACCAGGCTATGTCCTGAAAAGCTTTCTTAGACTGTCTCATTTAACCTGGATAGTCCCTGTATTAATTGACAGATGAGAAAACTGGAGCCAAATGAGGTTAAAAATCTGAAAGTTTTTTACTGTCATTAGTGACCTTGAGGCTGCACGAAGAGCTGTTAAAGCATCTCCATCTTTGTGTCCCTCATGAGCCAAATAGGATGGGAAATATTTCCCTTATTATTGAGGTCTCTTGCTGTTAATTTAAAAAAATTAGTAAAATCAATATTTTCCAAAGTATCTTCTTGCCTTTGTCTATGACGTTTACATACCAGGAAAGGAGAGAGAAATGGAGTAAATCAGCTAAAAGGCACAGCCTATCGTTGGCTCTGGGGGATCTGCCGAGCGCAGAGCAGGAACATGTGGTCTCCAACTGTTTGGTGAGGAAAGCTGCTTACACAGTCACACACACGGATGGCTAGGAAAGATATTTTTCTTTCAAGGTCTTCAAAACGTAGGTTTAAAGAAAGTTCCTTGAAGGCAGGTCTATGTATGTCTTACTTAAGTAGCCGAGTTGCACAGAAAGGGACATAGTTCATTCCCAACGCTTCCTAGAGGAGTCTCTCCATGTGGCCCATCTGGAACCTCCATGAGCTGAGTTTCAAGGAGCGGCAGATGGAGGAAGGAAGCCTGGTCCAACCACATTTACCTAGTTCAGTGGAGGGACTACGGGCTTCCAGATGAATTTCTAAAGAACCGTATTTGAACCCTGATGGGAAGCAAAGACATGCCTGAAGGAAAGTCTGGAACCATATCCAGTAGCACCAGCTATGCACTCACAACACCCTGAAAAAAGAAGAAGTGTTTTCTGATCTGAGTCCAGATCTACTCAGAGCCTGCAGACCCCACCCAGTGCGCCCTTAAATGTCGGCATCTGGCCACATGCACCCTTGAAGCAGAAGGTACAGAGGTACCCCGAGAAACTCAAGAAGGGGCCAGCTGTGGGCCTCACTCAACCCTCTCTTCCTGTTCCAGACGTTACAGGTGATCTACCCCTACACCCCACAGAATGACGACGAGCTGGAGCTGGTGCCTGGGGACTTCATCTTCATGTCTCCAATGGAGCAGACCAGCGCCAGCGAGGGCTGGATCTACGGCACGTCCTTGACCACCGGTTGTTCGGGGCTCCTGCCTGAGAACTATATCACCAAGGCTGACGAATGCAGCACCTGGATATTTCATGGGTAGGCAGACTCCAAGTTCATTGTCTGCTGCTTTTTGAAAAGCACTGCAGACTTAAAGGAGGTGGCGGGGAAATGGGCTTCATCCTGGACACACAGGGCAGCAGTCATGGTAAATGATGTCTGTGGGGAAGAAAGCTCTACTGGTTCCAGACTTTGGGGAAAAGGCTGATGTAGGGCATGGGAAGAATGAGAGATGTCTCACTCTGCCTCTCTCTGCCCGCCCCGTCCGATGTAATGATGTATCTGAGTGTCTGACTGGAGACTAAATGGACGCTGCTCGGGGGCCCATCTCTTCTGGCTGAAGTGTGAGTCATTCCAGTGCTAAATCTTTACTGATTCTGGACTTCTGTCCACTTTATCTCAGTCATTGCTCAGAGCAGCCTGGGCAGATTCCCACTGTGCCAGTCAGACCAGTAGAGAGAGGACGAGGGCCAGGAGACCTGACTGCCCCTCCTTGCTAGGTGACCCTGAGCAAGGGCTCAGACCTGGTACATGAAGACCACATGACAGAGGCTGCATCTAAGGAAATGGGCATCCGCCAGAACCTTCAAAAGGCATGTGTGGTTCCCCAGTCTTCTCTAGAGTGACAACTTCCCATCTGTCCTTCACTACTATTCTGTCCCCAAATCAAACTTGTCCCATGTTCAGAGTGGCCTGTGTTGTACCGCCAGCTTTGTCCTGATAGATAAAATGGGAACAGAGGGCACCTTCTCTTTCTCAGTCTGAGAAGTTCAAAGCCAGCCCTTCCCTGGCGCACTCAGGCACCTCGCCAGCGTGTGCCTGCTGGGTTGTTTTCCTCCCTCTTGTTCTTGCCATGTGCCAACGTGGCTGAGAGCCGGAAGCGCTGAGCACCAGCTGCATGGTGTCTGACATTGTTATTATCATCATAAAAAAGAATCAGAGAGGGGCAGTTTCAGTGAGCGTTCTGCCTGGAGGGGGAACACAAAGGAAGGGCCCTCTCCTGGTCCCCGGCAGGCAGAGAAACCACAGACCCCAAAATGAGACAGTACATCTTCTCCCACAGTCACCCCCTACCCAGCAACTCCCCGCTCTTCCTTCCAGCCCACCCCCCAGCCCATGAACATCCAGCATTTTGTGGCGCAGATTGGAAGGTCAGAGCTTTCTCCTGTTCCCCAAACATTTGCTTTTTCAGAAACATTTCTGAACATCAAAGTAAATACATTGGGTTCCGAAGTCACCATTTTACCTCTATAAAAACAAGTGAAGCATAATATACCTGAATAAACAGAAGGAAAAGATTGTCTGACCATGTACAGATCCCAGGTCACTTTCTTAAAAATAGGGCTACATGGGGGAGAAGAGTGTCGGTGATTTGGTCCGGGGACAATGGGAGGGCTGTCTGCTTTTTCCCTGGGAACCAGGTCTGAAATAAAACTCTCAGCTTCCATGGCCAGCCTGCTGAGAGTCTCAAACAACCTGGCTAATTTGATGGGAAGTTATGGAGTAGGGACTTGGGGTCAGTGACCCTGCACACCCCTTCCTACTCTGACCTTCCCAGTTCTGAGTCCCTGCTAAGGAAGTATTTTCCTTCCATCCTTATTAGGGCATCTTGCTTGGTTCTGAGTATTCCTAGATAAATTTGTCAACTGGTGAAGCTCTACTGTGTCCTCTGAATTAGGGTGAGTTGCCCAGATCTTCTGGGCTTACCCACGGGCCTGATGTGTCCCATGGATGTGCCAGCCTCTCCCTGGTGCTTGACAAGCTGCTCAGGGTATTAGGCTCAGCTTCCTCTCTCTCCTGCTCTCGACATAATGCTTCTGACTATTGTCTTTCTAGAACTGACAGACCCGAACTGTCTCCGAGTGAGTCAGAGCCTTTGATTACAATAACAGTTCAGGAGAGAAGGAGGTTGGCATTCTCCTTGCCAGCTGAGCTACAGGAGAGGGGAAAGGGATCTGTCAGTGTCCTCAGAGCTATAATAAATTAAAGGACATGTACCAGCAAGATGTCAGGACAATTTCCTATATCCAGACATTTCAGGCAATGAAGCTTTGATGAATCCGACAGTGAAACTGAATGTTCTTTCACTGGGCGACATTTGGGAGGGTCTCAGTTTGAAATAAAGGAGAACAGCCCACCTGGTAGACTGTGTGAATGGCACACGATTTCCTTGGGTTTTACTGTAACAGGTCTCATTTGGCCACACGCCACCCATACTGATGCAGCTTTTGTTAAACTGCAGGTCCCTGGGCTCCACCCAGACCTGCTGAACCATATTCTGAGGAGTGGGGCCCAGGTGCGTGCATTTTTTAAAGCTCCACTGGTGATTCTGAGCTTTGTGTGCGTGGACTGAGACGTCACTTTCTCAGGGGCTGAGGCCGAACTTTGTGCCATTTTATACCATGTGTGGAAGTAGGAGGAGTCTATTTACAGTCAGAAAAGGGACACTTCACAGAATGAAAAGGATGCTAAGGTTATTCAAATCATGTAGTCTTTTGAAAAATTACTTTACCAACAACCAGTTGGCTTTATTACATTGATGAATCTTAAAAGTTCTTCTCAAAAATAAAATTCTAAGAATAATACTGTGTTAACAATAAATAATCCTGAACAGATGTTGAATGGAACAGATTGCTGGGTCAGCGGGTACCAACCAGGACCGTGCTGGGCAACCTGGGACATGTGGCTACCCTAACTGCAAAGAAGTGAAAAATCGAACACTTAGATGCTCCCTTTTGACCCTGCCCAGTAATGCAGAAGGACACGTTTATTGGATTTACCTGACACCCATATTTAAATTACAATGTTTGTTGGATAAAGGTTTTTGGAGGCCTTACTACTCGGTATATTTAAAGACTGCATGACTTGCTGTCTCCTTTTGAGCAAGAGCTTTGGGGCTTCTGGAAATGAAAGTTCTTGGCTCACAGCACTACACGTCTCCTGAGAATGGCCTCCTCTCAAATAGTTCTGTATTTTGTTATCTTGTTGGAGATATAATTGAGATGGGGAGAGGGATTGGGAGACTGAAGAAAGTAGAATAGGGCATAAGGGCCATAAGGTTTCCTTGACCATCAGGAACCATATGCAAAGTGGTGGCGATCCTAAAAATTCCTCCTTTTCATTTGTTTATTCAGATGGAAATCACCATGGAAAAATATTTAAGGCAACAGGAATTGTTTCTATTGAACCAGAAAAATAGCTGGAAACAACAGTGCAAAATGGGTACCTCCTTATTCTTTAACATGGGCTTTTTTGTGCCAGCCATGCCCGTGACATCCTACTAAGAATAAAACCACGGGCCCCGTCCCTGCTTCGAGGGACAAGCACATCTGTTCCAAGTATAGAAGTGCATATACCTCCAATTTTATTAACTGTACGACTACCCAGGGAGGGTTCCTGCTAATCCCCACACTCCTGTTGAGCCCAAGGATGAAGTGCTTGATGACCCCTGGCCAAAGCAGTCATCTCCTTCTCTTCCTCTGCAGTTCTTACTCGATCTTAAATACAGCAGCTTCCAGCGCGCTCTCATTCGGTGATGGCGTGATGGAGAGGCGGCAGTATGAGGACCAGGGTCTGGGGGAGACGACACCCCTGACTATCATATGCCAGCCCACGCAGGTAAGGCTGACCGTCACTCACATCCTCAACTCCGGGTTCACCGGGCACCTATTACTAAGTATGAGGTCTTGCTCTTGGGGAGAAAGGGCACAGGGTTATAAAAGATATATAAATATTCAAGGCGAGGAAGAGTCAGATGGTGCTCCTGACAGTCATGACCAGCATTTGCGTCTATCCTGCTAAGGAATCTGTTCTGCAGAGAGGAGGATGTGCTAGCTGAAGAGCAGTGATGGTCACTGCTTCATAGGCTGTTAGGAAGAGTAAAGGAAATAGTAAGAATGGAGCTCTTCACACAGCACCTGGCACACAGTGAGTGCTCAGTGTATGCCAGAAAGTTCGCAGAATGGAGGAGTGATTAGAGTCGTTTTGAACAGTTTAGGCAGAGACAAGTTGAACATTCAAGCATGTTGAGGATCACGGGACTAGACTACACTGGCTGGGGCCCAGGGCTTGAATTAGGAAATGGAGAAGGGCAAGATCCCGCCCCCATCCCACGTGTGAACCTTGTCAGGGCACCAGGAAGCAATTGTGACGTGCTGGCCAATGTGAAGCTGGCAGCTCTAAGAAAACTGGAAATAGCTGACTCTATGAGAAAGAAGGAATATAGAAACATCTAGAAGGTGTCAGCCAGCAGTTGCAGAAACCAAAGCCACTTGAGGACACCTTCGACTAGACCTGCTTATTTCATCACCCAGAGGCAACAGTTGTCCTCTGTGGATCATTGATGGGGACACCCACATGCATGCGGTCAGGCAGAGCCTCGAGTGTGATCACAATAGGCAAAGCAGGACTTCATTCCTGAAAGGGACCCTCTGACCAGGCAGTCCCATTGCCACACATTAGAGACAGGGCAGGCATAATAATAGAAGGCCTCAGTCCCTGAAGAAGTTGATGAAGCGTCCCTGTCGGAGAAGCTGTCCCACCCGGTGGTTGTCTGTACGTGCTGGCTGGTTTCACCTCTGAGCTGTAACTCAGATGGCCTTCATGTGTTAGTAATGACCAAATGCCACTCCTACGGAGAGCCACAGCAGCCCCAAGGACAGTACCACCTTCATAACCCTTATTATTTTACAAAACTCTGCATTCCTCACATCTGAGCCTTGGAAGAACTTGTGAGGTCTGCAGGATGAGTCCTAACTACCCTCATTTTATAGGAACGCCAGCTTTACTTTCTCACATGCTGCCCCACTAATAGCCTTTCTTTCGCCGCAGCCTCTGAGGGTCAACAACCAGCTCGGTCCTCAAAAGAGATGCCTTTTTGTGTGTCGGCACGGAGAGAGGATGGATGTTGTGTTTGGCAAGTACTGGCTCTCCCAGTGCTTCGATGCCAAAGGTGAGCATTGGCATACCTACCGTGGCCTCCAGGGGGCACAGTCAAGCTGCGTTTATCTAGATGGTGTCATTTATGCCTCAGAAAATGCCTGTAACCTGTTACCTCCAAAGCCCTTCCTGATTGTCTTGAGTGTGACTCCATTTGAGTATGGACCAAATAAGGCAAACATCTTGTCCACAGGCACATGGCAAAGTCAGAGGCAGAGATGGGCATCCCGTTTCCACAGCGGGAGTTCCCTCCATTAAACCAGCCTGGCTCATTTGGTTCCATTTCCGTTTGAGTGGCTTGCTTCAGATAGGGAGGCTTTGCATATGAGAGAACCCTACCTCTTTAGAATGTCTGGTTGGAATTTCACTTAAAAACTATCTCGTAGCTTCTGTCAGCTGAATGGAGAAGTAGATTCTAAGACATCCTATCAAAGCAAAAGCCTGAGCCTCAATATTTCTTTTCTAGAGAGCTCAATTCATTCTCTTTGGTGGAAAAGGAATAGAGAGTAGAGAGGCTGTCAGGCTTAGCAACAGGAGTCCTACAGAAACAAGAATCTCACGTAGCCTTTGTCTGACTTGCCTTCCAGGCCGCTACATACGCACCAACCTGAACATGCCTCACAGCTTACCTCAGCGGAGTGGTAGTTTCCGGGATTATGAGAAAGACGCTCCGATCACCGTGTTTGGATGTATGCAAGCAAGACTAGTGGGTGAGTGATCACCCCGCCTTTCCTGGCTACTTCTTCAAAAGACTGGTCCAGTGAGTATGCCAGGACACTTCCTAAAGGTTTCTGTAACTTTCCTGCAAGTAGTATACTTCCTCAAAAGGGATGAATTACATAACCATTTACATTTAGGACTCTATGCTTGGCACTGGGTTGGTTTACCAGCATGAACAAGGTATCACCCTGACTGAGGTGCAGATGGTCCAGAGATGGGACAAGGTCACGGCTGGTGTGGCAGACAGGTCAGCGCCTGCACAAGCCTGAGGAGGAGGGAACCTTGGAGTGGCTGAATGCACTTTTGACCCTTTTGTTAACCAGACCAAACAAGCTTAGGTCCATTTGTCAGGCACACAGTGTCATGAGTCAGCAAAGCCAAACACTGACATCAGGATGTAGTGAAAGAAAGAGGGCATTTATTGCAAGGAGAGGGGGCGCCATGTAAGAGAACAGGCAGCTAATGCTTAAGGCCCCAGACTCTCAGTGGGTTAGAAGTAAGGGTTTTTAAAGGCAAAATTATGGGAAAAGTTTTGCTGGGTGCATGATCAGCTCATGCCCATTCTTTTGATTGGTCAGGTGATGGGATTATTTCAGGAATTTTAGTCCTCAGTCTTCTGGCTCCACCCAGTCTGGGCTGCTTATTGTCAGGAGGTGACTCATCTGGTGGGGGTCTACGTTCTTGTAAAACATCTCAAGGATGCATGTGTCAAGCAAGAGCTTATCTATAGCCTTGAGGAGGAACTTAGAATCCTGAATCTGTGTACCTGAGTTTGTAAACTCCCATTTCCTTTCATCTCTAGTTATTCAGTCTGATTCCCATATTCTGGGTCCCACTTGAGGGATTCAGGCTTCTCTTTGTCCATGAGATGTCTGAGGGGCTTCATCAGAGGGAGCCATCTGTGCGGTCACCCTCTGAAGATGCTCAGTTCTTTGGAGGTCTGTTCCACATCTGCCGTGCAGAGACGGCAGCCTCATCTCGTTCAGTTGTTTAACACATACTGATTGATCACTTACTTCGTACAAGGTACTGGGCTAAGCATTGGGAATCCAAACATGAGTCCCCACCCTCAGGGAAACAAACGTGTAAGCGGATCAGTATCATAAATACGGCATACTCAGTAACAACTATGCACAGAGCATTACAGGAGCTCAGAAAAAGACACACAGGAGGAGAGAGGTCAGCTGAGACCCAAAGGGAAGTCAGCGGGGAAAGGAAGGAGCAGGCAGTGGGAAGGCCATTCCCACTAGAAAGAACAACATAGAATCCCAGACATGAGAAAGGGCACTAGAGTACTGTGGCAGCCAGTGGTCCCTGCTTCTGGAGCACAGGTTGTGGGCAGGGGCTCGTGAGATGGATAGAGACAAGTTCACGGAAGACCTTGCCCACCGCACTGAAGTGTTTGCACTTTGTCCAGTACAGGTAAGAAGTGGATGCCAGGAGGAAAGCATTGAAGAATTGGGTGTTGGAATTTAGCTCTGGCGTCCAAGAAGATAACACTGAGATTTTGTTTAGCACAAGAGAAAATTAAAACAGGTCTAATTTTGAAAATGTAACACCTCTCCCCTTTATCACAGCAGCAACATGGGGCATTTTGTTTCCAGATCTCTCCCAGATGGATGTTTTAATGCATGCTTGCACCAGAGAGTAGGAAAGAGAAAGATAAGGGGTCTTTCATTTCGCCTCCTTCCTAGAAACACTGAGCAGGGGATTTATTGGCAACAGGGCGCAAGCTGCTGGCTCTCTGTGAGCCCAACCGGGAAGGAGTGGTTCACGGGGTCGGCTTGGCATCTTGTCCCATAGCGGGTCCAGCTGGGACTGAGCGCATCCATCAGATCCATTCTTTGTTGGTTTTCTTTGCAGGTGAAGCCTTATTAGAGAGCAACACCATTATTGATCATGTCTACTGCTCCCCATCCCTGCGCTGTGTTCAGACTGCCTACAACATCTTGAAAGGTAAGATTTGAAAAAGTCAACTCTTCGACGCCTCTGTCTCTCCAGCAGCCCTACACCTAAATTATTCTAGACTCATGGGACATTAGCCAGTGGAAAGCTTCCAGTGTGGAATTTTTAGCAAGCATCCTTTCAGAAGATGTTGCAAAAAGTCTCAAAATCATATTCTGGCAGCATAAGCAGGACAAAAAGGAAGTATATGTGCAAATAATTTTTTTTCTTGAAAATGTAAAGCTCTCTCGGATGAATTTGTAGGCTTATAAAACAATGTTGTCTGGCAATAATTTACAGCCTACAGAGCATGATACTTTTTTCGTGTGCTGAAGCAGTGGAATGGTTTCCTCCCACTGTGCTGTCTGCCTCTTGTTTACAGCAGCAGTGGATCTCCTAGGTGTGTGCAGATCTTAGTCATCCTTGTTTCTTTTGTTAATTGGAAGGACTTTCCAAAGCATGATTGCAATAAAGATACTCAACTTTCACCCTAATGTCTGTGGAAGACTGAGCTGCTGGGCTCTCCATTCTCATTTCCCTGGAGAGAAAACTAGAAAAAAAAAGAGGGTTGGACTGTTCACTTATACCAAACAAATGAATGAGGCAGAAAGAGCTGAGCCAGTAAAGAAGTGACACTGTTTCTGAGCCTTCTAGTTGTTAACCTTAAGTAAACGAGAATGGATAAGTTTATTATATGACATTCTGTATTAAATTTGCACAGAAACCTGGGCCAAAGGTAACATGAAGAGAGGTAACAGGGACAGCTCCTGCTCTGAGGGTAAGGACTTGTGCACAGGCACTTGTAAATGTTCAGCATTGGATATCCTGATAGAGAAAATGAGTCATTTTCATGACATTCAAATATCATGTAGGCTGTTGTAGAGCAGTGGATGCTAAGAGGATTTCTGCAGTTTCTTGGTATGGTAGTCTTGGAACTTACTTTAGAAAAGGGAACAGAGTAGTCACAGAACTGTGCAAATGATACGGGTAATGATGTGCTTTTCTTCCGTAAATCAGATACCATTTAAAGCCAGCCTACATCCTAGGGGTGTGGCCAGAGTATTAAACTAGAATGTTTGTAGCACACAAAAAGTAAAACCCTTGTCCAAACCCACAGGCTTCTGCCTCCTGGTAGCTATATACGTAGCTGGTAGGAAAGAGAAGACTTACCAGAATCTTTATAACAACGTGGCCTCTAACTTACTTATCCACTGACAATACAGTAGCATTCCTTTCCTGTTCATTTTATTTACTGCTAAGGTTTACAACAAGAAAATCACTTGAAGATCCGTGTGGAGCCTGGCTTATTTGAGTGGACAAAATGGGTTGCTGGAAACACACTACCTGCGTGGATACCCCCATCGGAGTTAGCGGCAGCCAGCCTGAGTGTGGATACAACCTACAGGTAACGTTCTGAAGCCGCTGTGTCCTGAGACCGGTGTGAAGTAGTTTCTACACTAGGCCAGGCTAATAAGGAGGTGAAGGACCAGACACAGTCCACAGGCAATTGTCCACATTGGTGGAAGCCAAGCTGTGATTTGAAAAACCGAAACTGGAGAAAGCCAGCATTCCCTGAGCATTCATGGGCACTGTATCTCCCCCTTCCACCCATACACTGGATCGTCCTGGCTTTATTCCTCCTGGTGAATAAAACCGCTTTGCATTCCAGGAGCAGGTACCAGCTGATGACGACAGAGTTCCAGAAGCTTGCTGGGCGAAAAGCAAAATGACAATGCCATACTTCAGATTGTCATTTTTAAATTCTCTTTATGTTCATTTATTTTTGCCATAACTCCAGAATGTAGGCGAGCCACTAATATGTAAGAGCCCCAGCAGCTTGCCTAAAGCTAGGCATTTCATGGCCACGCTCTTATTAACACCACTAATAACCAACCTTTATTGGTCATTTTCAGCACGTCAAGCACTGCTTGAGCTGCTTTACAGTCTTCTCATTCTCATTCCTCGTCCTTTTTCCATTTGACCAGATTTTGCATAAATTTAAAAAAGAGGTGTTTGTAGATTGCTCAGAAGAGAATAATACACAAGAAGATAATTAATATAACTATATTATTATTAGTTCTTAACTATCAGAAATCTACTCAGGAATTTATGAAAAAGCCCTTTGAGGAGGGATATTCCCAACCATTGCTGTGGGGAATTAAGCTCATATTTCTTAGGGCAGAAATTGGAACAAGCGACCAATATAAGCAGAAATGTCCTCCTCGTGATATCCCTTGACCTTTAATTTCAAATGCTTACCCAAACAATGAAGTGATGCAAGGTAGGGCAACCTATCTTTTCTTCCCATAGTCATTTACAGAGCAGGAAAAAAAGACCTTAGATAACCCCATGAATTAATTAATGTGTTACCTTTTCTTGCTTAAAGGAATTAGTATTCCTCAAAAATCAAGTCAGTCAGATCCTCTGCTAATATACTTCACATTTTGTCCTATCCTTTCTATGGCCACTGTTTCTCTATTCTGTTGGGGGAGGAACAGCAGTAGATCATTGTCCCCGTGCCAACAGCCATCATCCCTCGGGCCTGGAAAGAAGGTGGGGTGCTGTCAACCGTCAGCATCAGTGAAATGACCTTCCTCACTCACCGCCCGGCCCAGCGTGGGTCAGCTGTGCCTCCACTTCCCTCTTTGCTGGGGCCTGCATTGCTTCCCAAGCAGGTTTACAAAGGTCTCCCAGATCACTCTGAGCCTGTCGGCGCACACGCAGACACACAGCCCAGCAGTAGAACAAGGAGAAAGAAGAGTACCTGCAACCTGAGGGTCAGGACATAGTCCTTATGCCAGATTTTCTTTTATTCTAAAAAAAAATCGATTCAACCATTTCGTGTTCAGAAACTCAACAATAAAGCAAATGAGAAGCACAGCCCTTCAGTTAGACTCCCTCTGAATTTCCACCAAGTGGCGCCCAAATGATTGAAGAAACATGGTGATGGGCAGAGGTGCACGGACTGACAGCCGCGCATTGTAAGTCGGGCATTGTAAGTCAAGCAAGTGCCACTTAAAGATCCCCACCCCATGGAACAGGAGGGAGGCAGGACCATAAGGCAGAGTAAGGGAACACAACCAGGCTAGTAGCTAATATCCAAGTGTCCCCCTACCCAGGCAGCAAGGCCCAGCCTGCAGGCTGGGTGTGGGAAGCAGCCCAGGCTTAGGGAGCTAGACCAGAAGGAACAAAGCAGAAACAACAAAATATACAGTAGGGCTTCAGAGCAGGGGACTGCGGCACGGGGCACATCTGGAGTGTCAGAGGGGCACTGAAGCAGCCTTTGGTGTGGGGCTCAAAGCAGAAGCCTGCCCTACAGCCTGGACCAGAGCAGGGAGAACATTGCTACCGGAAGGCCCAGAGCCCTGGGTTCCGGGTCTGGTTGGTGGTTGGAGGCCCACCTGACTCTGAGGACAGTACATGGGTCCTGCAGGTGGGGTGCGGAAGTCTGGGCCCTGGCCCTCCCCTGTCAGAGCTAGCTCAAACACAAGAGCCATTTCTGGGTTCAACTTCAAGGCAAGAACTGACCAGGAGGAACTGGATCTCAGTATCTATCTGCTCTCCACTTACATAAATCTCATCTATTACGATGTGTTCTCACAACTGAAATGACTCCTTGGGCCATACAAAGAGGCCTTTTGTCAGTGTGTGGGGCTCCTGGGAGACCAGGTGATGTATGTGATAGTGAACCGGGATGAGAGGTGGGGCTGGGGAGAAGGAGTTGACTCCAGAACAAGAATGTTCCTAACAAGTGGTGAGTCATGCCCCTCCCTATCCCCGGGGTGTTGCAAGATTCAGAAGATTGTTTCCTAGGAGAAGTACAGCTTGCTGAGAGAATGTTATTTAGATGAGGGCAAATTTCCTTCAAATGGAGCAGCACCTTTCCTCTCTGGACAATAAACCTAAGTGCACAGAAGCATACCTTGGGGAGGACACTGTCAAAACCCATCCAAAGTGGGTGATAAGTTTACAGGGGCTGATCGCAGACCCAAGTTCAAATGCAGACCTTAAGAGCTGCTGATGGTGTGAGCTCAGGCAAGTCATCCGTAGCCTTTCTGAGTCTTGGTTTTGTCATCCATAAACTCAGGATTTGCAAAAGGGTTGCTAGGAGGGCTGTCTTCAAAGAATGCAAGGAGAGCACTTTGCACAGAGCCTGACACGTGGGAACCTCTCAGTAAATCTTTGATCAAGAAGCCATGTGAATTTACTTTGAGAACCTATTACCACCACTGTCTACCATGCACTAAATACCAACAATGAAAGAAAAATAAGAAAATAGAAAATATGACAAAAACAAGATAAACACAGTCATACACCAGATGTTCTAAATAGTAAAGCGAGACAGAAGTAGGTAGAAGTAACTGAGATCAAAGTCATGCAGAGTCACCAGGATGGGAGGGTCCTGCTTTGATCATCCTCTTACATACCTTCGTACATTGCGTCATAATGATCATTTACATCAACAGTCTACTCACCCCAATCATACACTGAGACCTCCTCAAGCATAAAAATCAGGTTCCCTTCATCTGTATGTTCCCTGGACTTCTCCTAGGGCCAGGTGTATAATCTGTGTTCAAAATAAGAGGGAAAGAAAAGACTGGTGAAGATTTCGTAAGTGCACAAATCCAATAAACCTAACATGTGTTTTAAAAACCTATCTTTAAAATTCCCTGGCTCCCATTTTATGAGGCCAGAATTATCCTGATACCAAAGCTAGATAAAGACACCATAAGCAGAGAGAACTACAGACCAAGATTTCTGATTAACATAAATGTAAAAAGTCTCAACAAAATATTAGCAAACAGAATTCAACAGCACATTAAATGGCTTGTACACGATGATCAAATGGGATTTCTCTCTGGGATGCAAGGATGGTTCAACATATAAAAGTCATGATTATCACAATAAATGCAGTACACATCTGACAAAATTCACCATCCTTTCATGATAAAAACACTCAAAAAACATATAGAAGGACCATACCTCAACATAATAAAGGCCATATATGACAAACTCACGTTAACATACTCAGTGGTGAAAGGTTGAAAGCTTTTCCTCTATGATCCATAACACAGGGATGCTTACTCTTACCACTCCTATTCAACATAGTACTGAAATTCCTAGCCGGAGAAGTCAGACAAGAAAAAGAATAAAAGGCATCCAAATTGGAAAGGACGAGGTAAACTGTCTTTCTGTGCAGATGGCACGATCTTATATAGAGAGAATCCTAGGGACTCTACCATAAAACTGTCAGATCTAATGAACAAATTCAATAGAATTGCAGGATATAAAATTAACATTCAGAAACTAGCTGTGTTTCTATACACTAACAAAACGTATCTGGAAAAGAATCCCATTCACAGTAGCATCAAAAATGAAGTATTTTGGAATAAATTCAGGTCGGAAGGGGAAAGATCTGTACACTGAAAACTGTAAGACTTTGATGGGAGACATGAACAAATGGAAAGATACCCATCCTTATGAATTGGAAGAATATTGTTAAAATATCCATACTATCCAAAGATTAAATACAATCCCTATCAAAATTCCAGTGGTATTTTTCACAGAAATAGAAAAAACAATCTTAAAATTTGTTTGGAACCACAAAGACTCTAAAATAGCCAAAGCAATCTTGAGAAGGAAGAACAAAGCTGGAGGCCTCACATTTTCTTATTTCAAACTATCCTGCAAAGCTATAGGAATCAAAACAGTGTGGTACTGGCATAAAAATAGACAAATCGGCCAATGGAACAGAACTGAGAGCCCAGAAATAAACCTTCAAATATATGGTCAATTAATATTTGCCAAGGGAGCCAAGAATATTCAATGAGAAAAGGACAGTCTCCAGTAAATGGTGTTAGGAAAAGTGGAAAACCACATACAGAAAAATAAAATTGAACCCATATTGCACAAAAATTAACTCAAAATGGATTAAAGGCAAATATAAGAACTGAAACCATAAAACTCCTAGAAGAAAACACAGGGAAGAGGTTGCATGATACTGGTCTTGTCACTGATATTTTTGGATATGACACTAAATACACAAGTAAACAAAAGACAGAATTAGTAAATAGGACCACATCAAACTAAAAAGCTTCTGCAAACCCAAAGAAATGGTCAGCAAAATGAAAAGGTAACCCACAGAACAGAAGCAAATACTTGCAAATCATGTATCTGATAAGGGGTTAATACCCACAATATATTAAGAACTCATACAACTCAAGAGTACAAAAAAAAAAAAAAGGCAATCCAATTAAAAAACGGGCAAAGGAACTGAAGAGAAATCTTTCCAAAGACATAAAAATGGCCAAGTACATGAAAAATGCTTCACATCACTAACGATCAGGGAAATGCAAATCAAAACCACAATGTGTTATCACCTCACATCTGTTAGGATGTTTATCATAAAAAAGATGAGAGATCAAGTGTTGGCAAGGATGTGGAGAAAAGGAACCCTTGTACAGTGCTGGTGGGAATGCAAATTTGTGCAGCCAGTATGGAGGTTCCTCAAAAAATTAAAAATAGAACTACCATATGATCCAGCAATCCCACTTCTGGGCATATTTCCAGAGGAAATGAAAAGAGGTATCTGTACATAATATCATTTAAATATGGGATCTAGGGATCTATGAAAGCCAAAGTCAGAGAAACAGACAACAAAACGGTGGTTACCAGGGGCTGGAGTAAAGGGGTATGTTGGTCAAAGGGGACAGACTTTCCAGTTGTAAGATGAGTAAGTTCTGGGGATCTAATGTACAGTATGGTGATTATAGTTAATAATTGTGTATTATATACTTGAAAGTTGCTGAGAATCAGGATCCTAAATGTTCTTACCAGAAAAAGGAAATGCTAATTATGTGACGTAATAGAAGTGTCAGGCTCACACCATAGTGGTGATCATTTTGCAATATGTGTATCAAATCAACACTTTTACACCTTAAACTTACACAATGTTCATGCATATCCTAGTAAAGCTGGGAAAGAAATAAAACTTGTATTTACAGCTTATCATGTGTAAGGCTATTGAATAGAGGCTTAGAAAATCTCCGGCAGTTTAAATCAAGAGCTCTAACCTCTGCTTCGCTTCCTATTGGCTATGTGACCTAGGACTGATGGTCAGTAAAATTAGTTAAACTGCTTATGAGCTGTCCTGCACATGAAACTCTCACTGCATGTTTAATTTTTCATCTGGTCATTCTGACACCATGTGTACATAGCCTATTATTATGTACTTTTCAACCCTACAGCTATACAATGGAAATAGTCCCCTGAACCTCCTCATTTCTAGGGAAAAGGTAAACGGAAATGTGGACACTTTGGAAAGGTCTTAAAAGGTTAACATACTATCAACTGCTTTATCTTGGGATCAAACGTTCTTATTGCCTTTGTTCATTGTTCTATTACAGACCTCACATTCCAGTCAGCAAATTAGTGGTTTCGGAATCCTATGACACCTATATTAGTAGAAGCTTCCAAGTAACAAAAGAAATAATAAGTGAATGTAAAAGTAAAGGTAGGTGGTATTGTTTTGGACTCCGTATCTAAATATGTGATCATTTCTCCCCCGTGGTTAACAGGCTGTTCTGGATGTTTCCACTTGTTTTGGCAGACTGGCTTAATAGGAAAGAAAAATATGTCCAGACACTCCTATAGGTACTTTCATGTGAAATGTTAATATTTTCTTGCGTACCTAAAATGGTAGATATTGCATGGGAATACACCAGGATTACTCTACAAAATGACTTACAATTCTGCATTACAGTGGCACTCTGTGAAGTGCGAAGCCTGTTATAATTTCCAGAGGTTCTTTAGCAGGCCATTGTTCTGCCTGTAATTTGATTCAGGAGCATGGACACCGACACACAAACACACAAGCTGCCACTGTCACCACCAGCTGAGAGCAGCGATCCACGTGTCTCATGTCTGTTGCTCCTAAATTTTATAAACATGGACTCGAATATTTGTTGATATGTAGGACTGTTCACTCTAAAATTTTTAGTAAAAAAGGAAGATTACAAAAGAGTTTTGTACATTCCTGTCCCATTTTTTAAGTTAAAATATTTGTCTTCACAGAACAAAGACTGAAATTATATATACACCAAAATATTAACAGTGGGTAGCCTTGGCCCAGCAGTATTACAATGATTCTCACCCTTCACTTACCATTCCTAAGCCACACAGTTCATTACCCCTGTGATGCTCTGTGCTATGAAGATACCCAACTGGTATCAGTTCATTACCCCTGCGATGCTCTGTGCTATGAAGATACCCAACTGGTATCAGTTCATTACCCCTGTGATGCTCTGTGCTATGAAGATACCCAACCGTTATCTTATCAACTGGTCTCAAGTGCCCTATAGTTCTGCGGTGGCAACACTGAAAACTGTGTAAGGAGTAGAACAAAGTCCTGTAGACGTGGATAGTTTTATATCTTGATAGTGGCTGTGGCTCAGAAAGTTACACATATAATAATAGAATTGAGTAAACCTGGTGAAATCTAAGTAAGCTACCTGGATTGTGCCAGAATCCATTTCCTGGTTTTGATAGTGTACCAGTTAGGTGAGCTGGTACCACTGGAGGCCGCTGGCTGAAGGATACATGGGTCCTCACTGGTATATGTGTGTGTGTGTGTGTGTGTGTAGTATATATACTATATACACATACACATGTGTATCTACATGTGTCTGTACATATTGTACAATGACATATATAATACATGATATGTAATTTTACATATACATATATATGTATAACCTCCTGTGAATCTACAATTAAGATTAAACAGGTTTTTTCAATGACATTAGGCTTCTTGAACTATACAGAGCATTTCAAAGTATTGTTTGGCCAAATTGTCTCCTTCTTGAGAAAGTTTTCCCCTCCCCGGAACAACTTGGCTTCCAGTATTTAGAAAGTTTACATATGTCTTTATAGAAATGCTCTTTCCAGGCCTTGCTTTTTTCTCCCCAGGAAATAACATTCTGATTGTGGCCCACGCATCCTCCCTTGAGGCATGCACCTGCCAGCTTCAGGGGCTGTCACCTCAGAACTCCAAGGACTTCGTCCAAATGGTCCGGAAGGTAATTCACACTTGCACTTGGGGGGCCTGTGGTACCTAGTTGTTTTAGCACAGTTCAATGACTGACTGATAGCCAAGTTCTTTGAAGCATGCGTTTACTCTGAGTTAGGGAGATGGATTTATTGATTCACTCAACCAAGGTGTATCTAGTGGTGCTTTGTGTAAGGCACTTTATTTATTAGGCCTTGTGTAAGAGAAAAAGACATGTTTGAGCTTCTGCTAGTTTCTAAGAGCTAAAATTTAGGAAGTAGCTAAGAATTACAAGCAAATCATCTGGACTTCCGTGTGGGACTGTGAATTGGGTGAGTGAACCAAAACACAGCATCTGACTGCTCAGCTAGAAGACAGGTCCTGGCTGGTCGGCCGAAGGAAGCAGTGATTGAACATGATCGGGCTGAAAGGCAAATGGAGGAACCAGGCAGCAAGATAGAAAGCCCAGGGGGCTGATCCACACATCTGGATTCTTCCTTCTTGTGCCTGAGGAAGAGGTTTTCCCGTCAGCCGCCCTCCCACACACTTCCCTCCAGGCTGACTTATGTGCTTCCGTTATCTGCCCCCAGAGAACCTGGTTCAAACTCAGTTGTAATTCTTGTTCATTTTTTAAAAGCTTATTTGTATGTCTTTCCCACTACTCTGTAAGATGCTTCAAGGCAGAGATTTTTGTCTTGTTTATAAATGCAGCTTTGGATGCACACAAAAAAGCTGGTTTTGAAATGCCAGGACTACTGAAATTGGGAAGGGCCCAACTTCAGCTTTCAATGTTAAAGAGAGACAAGCAAAAGAAAAAAAATGATTCTGGACAACCCAGCAATTCCACTTCCGTGTCTTTACCCAAGGAAAACAAAATCACTAATTTGAAAAGATGTATCACCCATACAATTACTGAAGCATTTTATTTCCCATAACCAAGATACGGAAAGCAACCTAAGTGTCCATCAATAGATGGACAGACAAGATGTGGTACATGTACACAATGGAATATAACTCAGCCATAAAAAGAAAGAAATTTTGCCATTTTCAACAACATGGCTGGACCTAGAGGATATTATGCTAAATGAAATAAGTCAGAGAAAGATGAGTACCATATGACCTCACTTAGATGGGGAATCTAAAAAGCAAATGATCAAACAAGCAGACAAAACAAATAGGCTCATAAATACAGAAAACAAACTGGTGGTTGCCATAGGGGAGGGGAGTGAAACAGGTTAAGGGAGTGAAGAGGGACAGTTTCCAAGTAAAAAATAAGTACAGGGCTGAGAAGTACAGCTGACAGAATAGAAGCAATAATATTGTAACCACTTCAGGTGGTAACTGCACTTAATGTGGTGAGCATTTTGTATTGTACATAATTGTTGAAGCACTAGGTTGTAGGTTGTACACCTGAGACCCATATAATACTGTGTATCAACTATATTTCAATCTTAAAAAAAAGGAAAAAGCTGGGTCAACTTTTAATGATTGAATAATCTTTCCCATCATCCAAGTATAATTTCAGAAATATTTGAGCTGCATTTTAGTTTGACTTGCAAATTAAGAATTAACTCCCAGAATCTTAGCTTTATATGTTACTGTTCTGCTCTTATTAAGTTGCAATTCTATAAACAGTTACTTAATTCCACTAGGGGAGCTCACCATTTAATGAATTCTGATGAATCCTCTTGCAATGTGAATACTTTTCTATCAGTTTTATCCATTTCACTTTCTTCATTGATTTTTGGAGTAGATGCATGTTTACAAAGCCCCTATTAATTCCTACGAATATGTCTTATTCTCAAGACCCACCTGAAGATCTTGCTTTCTAGGTAAAGGTGAGAACATTAACCTTTTGTTTTCTATTTTCCTTTTCTTCAACATTCTCACTTCAGATCCCATACTTGGGGTTTTGTTCCTGTGAAGAATTAGGAGAAACTGGAATTTGGCAGTTGACAGACCCACCTATCCTTCCTCTTACCCATGGACCAACAGGGGGCTTCAACTGGAGAGAGACCCTGCTACAAGAATAAGCCACATCAGTGAATGAGAAAAGGCCTTAGACTTTGGGAGACGTACCTTGTGTTTTTAGTAACAGTGGAAAATATGTACCACATTCTAAGTGGACAGCTCAGAATCATTAGGCATATTTCTTTCTTGCTTCTTACATGAGACTGTGTGAATGAGAAAAAGACTTGATTCAGGGATACAATTCATTCTCCCTGGATATGCCCAGCTAGCAAGATTCTCAAGAATTGTCTTCCTAAATCAAGGCACCTACCCAGGCAGAGGATGTGTTCTCCCTTCTGTCCGTGCGTAGCTACGGAGCCCGAGTCCTCACGGACAGGGCTGCCCGCCCACTCTGAGCAAGGACGCAGAGTTAAGACGGATGTCCTGAATCCAGCTGGAGGGACACCGAGCTGCCGTTTTGACGGTGGGATTTCCTTTCGCGCTATAGGTTCCAGTCAGGCAAAGCCAAGCTGAGGAATTCCTTTAAATTTAGTAGAAAACATGCCTCCGCAGAGAGTTGTTCTTACGTTACGTGTCAAAGTCTGCTCTCAGTGTGACCCACACCCCAGCGCTGACTCAAGACACCTGCCCGAGGACTCCAGCGTTTACCGTAGTCCCGCCCAGCTTCTCCAGAGCGCCTGGCTCCAGCTGTTTGCTGCAGCCCTTCCCCTGTGCCCCTTGCTTCTGTCTGTGAAATGGGGAGACAAAGCACTTCTGGACACTCAGGAGGAGGATAACCTAAGTGTGTGAAGTATTCAATTGTAGGAACAGAGAACTTGCAAAACAGAAAGTGACTTGGGATTCTTACCCACGCTGTAGTCCCACGAGCCGCGATTTGTTTGTCTGTAACCCTAGAATCGAGACCCTGTGGACATTTTGAAAGGATGTGTGGTACATCGAGTCAGCAAGAATCTCATCCTTGTGCAATATGGACATCTTTACAAACCGTACCAAGGGACAGGTCGTCGTACCCTTAGAGTACATGTCAGTCAGAAGAGAACACGCACAGAACACAATCGGTTCTACCAGGGATGGACAATGAAGTCAGGGAACTAATTTAAATGATGACAGTCACGACTGTCCTGCTACATGTGCGGTCATCATCGTCTGTTTTTCTGTGATAATTTAAAATATGGAGGTAGGGCTACTTAAGGAAAGTTGGGAGACCCACCCCCTGTGGTTTCTCATCACGCTTGCTGCCTGAATTTAGAGGGAATTTATTTTTAAAGAAAAATAAATGACAATCAAACCAAAACATCAGTTATCAATGTCTATTTAATTGTACAACTAGCTGACTGTTGCGGCAGCAGACGATGGTATGGTATGATACAGTTCACTATGTACAGTGCGTGCGCAAAATGAAATCCCAGCCATTTAAAGAGAACATTAGTATAAAATCAAGGTACACTGTGGCATTGAATAAAATTCAAAACCCAAATGCATAAACATATATGAAAATAGATCATGCTCCTATTTGAAACTGGAATTTGATGATGCCTGAAGGGGGAAGGAAGAGAAAGGAGGTTGGCTCTGTATGTCAATCAGCAAAAAGATGATATACTTGGGGTTTTTTTTTTTTTAAGTCCCTTAAAGAAACATGTTGTGAATTTTACATTTTTAAAGCACACCTCCATTTCTTTTAGTATTGCACACTGATCCAGTTTCTGGGTATAGAAATAACTCTATGCTGACATCATTTGATTAATATAAATGTTTTAACTGTAAAATTGGGGAAATGCTCCCAGTAAAGGTTTTAAGAGAAAAGTCACATTACAGCTAATGTAATGTCGCTGCCATTCCTTTTTTATCTGTAATGACATGAATCCACTGCCTAATCAAATTTGTAGTATTTATTAGAATCTCCGCAGATGGGCATGGACTTTCAGCGCTCAGAACAATGCCTGGACCGCTCATATCCCATTTCCTTGAAGCCTGTAGCCGTGTGTCTGTACTTGCATAGAACATAATTCAGACAGGTTATCATCCTCCTCCTCTCAGTTGTCTTGAGAGGTGAGTAAAATAATTTATGCCTCTACTTTAACTACCCAGATTATGAAAATGGTCAGAATGATCTGAATTCATGTTAAATTCTTTTTCTATTAACCTATTTTAAAAAACTAAACCTAAGACTCCAGTTAAGAAATTCTCTGGAAATCATGTTGAATCTCTGTGTAATAAAAGGACCAGTCAACTGTATTACATAATTTCATATTTATCCAAAAATTTTTGGTTGATACTAAACCTTGAAGTACACGCTAGTTTCTTTTTGATCTGAGGCTGATGCTAATATTATTAAGAACAAATGTGTCAGCAAAGGAGAAGGGAAGGAGGGAGGAGCGAACCAGGAAGAAAATGACAGATAAGAACTAAATGGTTTCTTGTAGGGAGGACTTTTTTTCCTAAATGTGTGAAATTATCTGACATGAACTAAACCAGAATTAAAGGTTTTAATCGGGGACTGAAAGTCTGAAGGTTTGCTGCTTGTGTAACTGTGCCACATCGATCTGCTAATGCCCTCGTTTTATTCATAGATAGGACTTTGGTTTCAATGATTTCAAAATGCCACAACTCTTCCTCTGCGGATGAGAATAATTGGCACATTTTAATGCACAAGCTAGGAATTTCATTTTCCCAGGCTCTCTTCTCCATCACTGTTTCGGTAGCTAGGAGCTTCCTGCTTCATCCGGGTAGGGAGCTCAGAATATAGTGTTTTCCATTACATTTAGATTCATAGAATCTGAATGGCTGATTAAATGGCCATCTGATGGCTGACAGAGGGGGTGGTATTTTTCACCCTGCTAGGGAAAGCCTCGAAGGAGTTTCTACTTTTTATTTGAATTATACTTTAACCAAAGAATTATTTTAAAATAACCTTATATTTGAAAGAGGATTTTGCAAAAAAATAAAAATAAAAAAATATTAAAAAATAATATCTTCTGGAATTATGTCAGTTTGGTAAGTCACTGTCGATCATTTTCTTGCATTTTAGGCTGAGTATTTGGCATGTGAATAGATGGTCATCTATTTGTGCTTAGCGTTACCATAAATGTATCTTTCCCACTCAAGTGGCTGTGTTCGTATTAAATGAAGTCTCTTATTGCAGTCACCTCGTGTCACTGGGATCTAATTGATGCGCTATAGTATGAGAAGTTCCTATCTCACTGCCTTTGTGGAAAGGCAGCCCCGTGTAGTAAAAAGGGAGGCATGCCCCGTAACCTAGGCACTCCGTGACTCCGGCGTTTAATTCGAAAGCAGTGATGAATTGCTCTTTTGAATTTACTCTAAGTAAAGCGTGTGTTAGAATACAGATGAACCTCCTTTAATTTTCACAGGCAAAATCACAACTGTACTGTGTCTGCACACACGTCTCAAGATAATGAGGTGCAGGGTTATTTGCATTTAAATTGTCCTGCGCACGTGTGAGAACTGAGCGCCTCAGTCGGGCTGCCTTGCCAGGAGGGATGAGACTGGCAGAGAAGGGCAGGGGGAAGAGGGATTTAACATCGATTCAGCTGAATATTCACTTTTTAGAGGTGACGGAGGGCTATTTTGGTAGGTGATGGCAGATGCTTTTCATGTTTAAACATAAGATTAGAACTGGATTCGCTTCTCTTTAATACTTCAACATACTGAATTTTTGCTGGAAATTCAATATGTTGGGAATTGACTAGCTATCCCTAAAATTCAAGGGAAGGAACAAAATGCCTCAATACAGAGGAAACAACTTGATTTTTAAATACATATAATATCATGTTCAGTGCATGAGGTTTAAAATTACAGTGATGAGTAGTCAAGCAATATACAATCAGTTCTGAAAAATGCTTTACATGGTACCACTTAGCTGCCATTACCACACAAAAACTGGGATTTTGCAGCTGCTCATCTGTTCTTGGACTCCGTACAGGATTCATGTGTATAATTGGAAATGTGTACTGGTTCTCTGATGGCCCCTAAAGTGGGGAACACTATCCCGAAGCGTTTTGGTTATGTATAAACCTTTCCAAACTTGCTGCTTTTGAAGGTATAATTGGTTCCTTTCTCATTTATAAAGCAACTGTATCAGTTTTTTTTCTATGTGATTCAGATGTCTTTATCTCAAGAAAAAGGTTTGTAATTGTAAAACAGAAAACCACACCTAACTGTATGGCCAAACTCCTTGTAAGCCACCGTGATGTCTGTGCCCCCTGCCTGCCCTTTCTCTCTAGTTCTAGCACCGCTGTAAGTAGTCCAGTCCTCTCCATGAGTATCTCCATTTAAGTGGTTCACAGATGATTTAATAAAGAGGAACTGTGTCCTCAGTCAATCCAGAGCAATCTCATATGAAACTGAGTGGTCTCTCTTCCTAACATGTTTTTAGTTGTTACTGTGGTCCATGCTTTTTCACAAATGTTATTAAGAGTGTGACTTCTTGCAGAGGGCCAGAGGAGAGGGTGCGCCAGCAGCCTGTGGGTCTCTGGTCCCTTCCGGTCAGACATCTCCCTGAGTCAGGGTGGAGAGGGGGAAACGGACATAGGAGAGAGAGAGAAAGCAGGAGCTCCAAAATGCTTCCACTGCCCCATGCCCCAGCCTTCATCCTCACCAACACCCACCTTGAGGAGGGTCCACAGCATAAGAATTAGGCTAAGAGAGAGGAAAAAATTCCATTCAAACAAGGTCCCAGGCTAATAAAAGCCACAGACCCCTTTTTGAAGTATGGCTACGTTAAGCTAATAGATTTTAAAACAAGCCATGTATGCAAATTTATGTGCAGGCTATAAATGCGGATTCTCATCAACACAACCAGCTAGTCGCCTGGCAGGGTTTTACTTCCTGAGGAAACAACAGCTAATGCTCATGTCTGACAAAAGACCAAGCTGTGTTTAGCCTTGTGGCTGGTCCTCAGCTGTTCTCTGCTTGATGGCTTCCCAAACTCATTTTGCCCTTTTGTGATGTATGGAAAGCCTCCTTGCACATCTAGAGAAAATGAATGTGCCCTTTGGATTTGTTTAAGCTGAAATCAGCAAAAATTTTTTGGGAGCGGGGAGCTGAGGACCAAAAACAGTCTTTCTTCTGAAGAAATAATACTTCTTGTTGCCAGAAATAAACATGTAAAACCCACACGGCCTGCTCCTGGCTGTGAAAAGATGTCAAGATCTATTTAGCTGCTTGTATTATGTCGATAGGGCAATCCAGAAGGTCTGTGTTTCCCTGGAGAAGAACCTCATGTTGTACCAGAGAAGAAGCCCTACTTCTGGAGTCAGATAGAGCTGGTTGACGATCCTGGCTCAACTGCTTACCAGATCCCTTAAACTCACCTCATCTGTAAAATGGGCACATTGATTTTTACAGCATGGTTGTATCAAACAGGGTAATGAATATAAAATACCTAATACTATATGCTAATAAATATATTGCTTTCACTAAGGCCAAGGTAAAACCACACATCAAGCCACTTTCTTGTCTATGGGGAATATCCAGGAAAAGGAATAAAAATGATCTCATTCGTATTGGTATGGCTTGCTCTTCTCCCTGTACGTTAGCTTCTGTAGTGTGATAAAAGTGTGTGTATCAGGTGAATTCTTTGGTTTGTCTGATAGGCTGCCTCAGTGATTTACCACTGTCCCTTTGTATAATTTTCTACAGTTTTAAAAACACATTCTCATCTGACCCTCATAACAATTTTACAAGGTAAGGAGATTAGGTATTGTGAACTCATTGTATGAAAGCAACAAAGATTCTGAGGTGGTGGATTCATCCATCATTCCACAATATTGATCGGACACTATGTCCCGAGCAGGTGGCAGGCTGGAGCTTCAGTGGCAAATTAGAAAGCAAGGTCCCTGCTCTCAAGGAGGGGAGAGGCAGACAATGAATGCCTAATAAACAAGGTAATCACAGAGGTGGGTCAGTGTTGTTGAGGGAAAACACAAGGTTATATAATAGTAACTTTGAAAGGGATGTGGCACAGGGGGTATGACTTTAGATAAGATCATCAGGTGTGGTGTCCCTGAGCAGCTGGCTCAAGTAGAAGCTTGTCATGGTAAAAGCTAAATGAAGAGGGTTCCAGAAAGATAGAATGAGCACAGAACCCCAATACATGGAAAAGAGCTAGCTGGGTTAGAAGAGAAGGGGTCAGGGGGCTAAAGCTCAGTAAGCCTGGAAAAAAGTGGGGAGAAATGAGGCCAGAGGGGTAGACAGACTCACAGACATGGGGTCCTGTCCACCAGGGTTTGGCAAATTAGCACCCACAGGCCGAATCTGGCCCACAACCTGTGTTTGTACAACCCACAGGCTAAGAATATTTCTACAATCGTAAATTGTTGAAAAACATCAAAAGAATATTTCATTACCCATATGTGAAATTCAAATTCCAGTGTCTATAAATAAGGTTTTATTGGCA